GGTGGATGTTGGCCCTGAAAAGCCCCTATGGGGAGTGGTCAATTAACCTATGTATGTATGTAATTTAACTAAATTCCTGTTTTTCGATGAACAATGATTCCTGACATCAGAGTGGCAAATATTTAAAAAAATATTGTCAGAGGGAAGCCAACTTGCATTTGTATCTTAGGCAGCTTATTAATTACAGAGCCACTAGTTTGTAAGTATCAGAATGGACCACAGCAAGAATCCTCAGACACTTAAGTCTCAAATAGGACACTAGTGTTTAACTCATCGAGTTATTTATTTTACTTTAACTTTTGGGTTATTAAGAGAAAACCATATGTAGGACATCGCTACGTACGTTACAGCTTTTTTCTTGTATGATTTTCTTTAAGGGTCTGATCGTTGGTGGATCATTTGCATTGAAGGAATTCACTGAGATAAAAATTAAGCGCCGGGATGAAAAGATATACAGGGTAAGCTGATAAATTTTCATGACTTATGTCCTCCTCGAACTTTAATTCAAATATCTGCAAACCTGCGCGCGCGCCGGTAATTATATCGAGTCCATTCTCTTTCCTCACTCTTATCTCACTGGAGATAATGCTTTTGCTCAACATTACTTTCCCGTCGATGATTGGAAAAGATATTTATAATCATACCTTTCTTCCAATTTACAGTCAGGGAACCATTTATGGCTAAAGATTACTAAAATCCCTCGATCAACGTTTTGATATTGTCATGATGTATCATGCATGCAATGCCAAAGTAAAAAAAAAAAAAAAAAAAAAAAAAAAAAAAAAATAATAATAATAATAATAATAATAATACTAATACGATGACATTAACAAAAATGAGCGAAGTGAAACCTACTCGAATGTTAGTATTATTACATTTATTCTTTATTCTTTCATTCTTTATTATTATTGTTTGTGTCATACAAGTGAATTCCTAAGATTGGCCAAAACCAGAGGCTTAAATGGCTTATGGTCAGAGACAAAGACTAAATTCTCAAAGAACAATAGAGCAATCTAAGGTATTCTAATCTAATTTATTGTAATCTAATCAAATCTAGGTAATAAACAATAATCAGGGTATATTAGAAGTTCAGTATAATGTTCACAAATTTACAAAGAGCAGTAGATTAATCTAAGTAGTAAACAATAGTCCGGGTTTATCAGAGTTTCAGTATAATATTCAATTTTGGTAGCTAAAAATTTAATTCAGGTTCAAGAAATACAATTTAAGCTTCTTTTTGAAGATACTAATGGTAAGGCTGTTATGGAAAGTCAGAGGGATATTATTCCAAATAGTCGGGGCTTGGGAACAAATAGCAAACTGATGCCTACGCGAGAATTTGTGTAAGTTAAAACAAGAGTGAGTTTAATAATCATGAAACTCACGATCGAAATGTAAAAGCGAAGAAAGAGTGGCAGGCACAAGGCCATTGAAATATGAGAAAACAAAACAGGATACATCGAATTTGTAGAGTAAGTGGAGCAAAAGAATATTGAGCTTAGAAAAAAGAGGTTTAGTATGTGTTAGTGGAGGAGAGAATGCAATAAAACGAATGGCTTTTTTTTGTAGTATATAAAGAGGTTCGAGGTAGGAGGCAAATGTAGACCCCGAAATCAAATTACAATAATTAATGTATGGTAGGAAAAGAGAATTATATAAAGTTTTTAGGGTATGCGAGGGTAGATATCATCTCATTACATTACATTTACATTTATATAGCTCAGACTTCTATGTGGATATATTCAGTCACGCTTAACAGTATCGTAAGGTTAAGATCGGACGTCAGCATTTTTATCAGGCGCCTCTGGCAGCCGCTTCAGTCCATGTAGCGATTTCATCATCCCACCCATTCCACCCCGGGGAGGACATCCACTACACAGTAATCTCGTGCATGGGAAATTTATGTCTCCTACCCCAAACCCTGCAGGAGACCGGACCTACGGCTTTACGTCTTATCCGAGAAGACGAAGCAATGTGAGTCAAGCGTCTTGCTTATTATACCAAGGAAAGTAAAGGAAAAGGCCGCAATCAAGCCATGGCTTTAAGCTATGGACAACCAGAGGCACTGTATCATATGTATAATTTCATGAACGTGAATGAAATTTTTTTTTCGCAGTTGAACAGGGAAGAAGCCCTAAAAGCGTTACCCAACAAGGGAAGAGAAGTGTTAATAGAGGAGGCATAGAAGGTAGATCAGTACTATTACCTTGCTGTTAACGTTCATAGAATTTGCACTTGTCATCGAGATTGAATAAAAGCCAGGGCTCTTTTGCTAGCTTCGTAGCTAAGCTTTGGAACTCCATTTGCGATGGCTAACCTCACGATTCTCCCTTTTCAGGATGTATTTTTTATATTTGCATTGTAGCTTCCTGAATAAACGTTATTTATTTTATAATTTGAAATGGTAAATTGGTCACTGTTTCGGTTATAAAAGCTGACGTTTCGAGCGTTAGCCCTTCGTTGGAGCGTTAGCCCTTCGTCGGAGCGTTAGCCCTTCGTCATTTGCTCCAACGAAGGGCTAACACTCGAAATGTCAGTTTTAATAACCATATCGGTGGCCAAGTTACCATTTTAACTTTGTTGATATATTCAAATTATTTCGTTACCCCCACCAATGCATCGCCAAACAGTTTCTTTAGAGACTATCAGCCTTTATTTATTTATTTATGTTATGTTATGTTATGTTATGTATGCTCTTTGTCAACTCCCAAAGAGAGCTTTCAAAAAACTTTGTAAGGACATGTTATTTTCGTTCTTAGAGGCTGAGGATTACTATGTTGAATAGCCCCTTCTACTTCAAAAAATAACGAATTATAAACCGGTTTTATGATTTATATTCTACATTCTATAGTGTTTCTATTTTCTTTTGTTTAGTGATGTAGTTGTATATATGAGTTTTAAGTGGCTGTCTTTTTCTGAAATTGTTATTGTGTTTAAGCTTTATTTGTAATATATCACTACTGCTGTACCTCTAATTCCTGACCACCTCGACTAGCTCCTGCTATTTGCGGGCGTGAATGCTCTTCATGAACATGAAAGTTTGCTTCACAACCAACTAAAGATGATATCTTGTAAAACGTGTAGATCAGATTAATAATAATTACATTAATAATTATAATAATTAAGTAGATGTCAGTGCAACTTTTGAAGTTTAAAGGTCTAATAACTAAATAAAAATGTATAAATAAAGATGATATTAATCTGAGAAATGGTAGTGGACCGAAACTGTGTTGGCTTGATGTCACTGACTTACAGTTTGTTAGTCAACATTGGAAGTTTGTTGGGATTGCTATTGTGCCAAGAAGACATCAGTGACTAGTATTAATTAATTACTTTTTTTCTGTGATTTATTTATTTAGTATGTATTCTCTTCACTACAGGATATTGCCAAAAATTTAGATATTGACCACTGGGAAAACAAACGAGGACCACGTCCATGGGAAGAATAGCCAATATCATGAAAATCAAAACAAATAAATCTTCAGCTTGCAGAAAAGTCACCTAGCCTTTTTGGTCAACATCCAACCTGCACTGATCTCAGCAGAGAGATTTGACCAAATATTACTTACTACCAAGTCCTGTCTTTCCTCTGGACAGGGACTTAGACAATAACCCTTTGACTCCTGTTAGTGATCAGTAGGTAACTTCTCCTTGCAGTACCAATATACTGTCAAGCAAAGGGGTGAGGAGAAGAAGGGAATGTATAAACTAGGGGATATTGTTAGATTGTACACTAAATTTACAGAGCAAAAAAGAAAAAGAATTAATCAGCAGACAATGAGGAGAAGGAAAATTAAGTCATTTGAGTGGAAAAGGGTGAAGTACTTATAAAAATGAAATTTCTAGGATGACCACTTATCTTAATTGTAAAGAGCTGAGCATATCACAAAATAAACTGTGTGAAAAGCCAGGCTTAGGCAGGCTGGTGGCAAAAGGAGATACAGTACAAACATTTCACTAATTGAGATGGTACAGATGCTGGAAAGAGGCATGTTTCCACCCTGTTCTCCCATGCATTTTACCCTCATGTTTTTCTTCACGTGTTTGGTCGGGATAACAGTTACTATTCTTTCTGCCTCAGTTGCATGAATACTACAAGAGAGTGTAAACAGTGAATTACATGTATTTTTGAAGACCAATTTCTTCAAGGTGCTTTGTGTTTTGTGCACTGACATTGCAACTGGTTTCAAATAAGACAGTTTTTGAGGTTCTACATTCATCAAATATCTTGTATGCATTAAAATTCCAAGGGAACAAGCCACAGCAGAAACAATGCAGGGTGTAATTACACCAAACAAGTTTCCACAATTCTTTGCAGCGCTAATGTACTGATCAATCCAGTTTACCAATACTTGTCATACTAAATGGCACTTTGCAAAATTTAACAGATCTCTTTGACAGTCCTCTTCTAGTATCCTTTTAGACAGCTATTTTTATTTTAATTTCTGTTTAATACTAATTTTTAAATCACACAACATTAAAATAGGGGCTAAGAAAGTTCACCCCTAGGTCTTAAAAGAATGATTTCGTTGTGCAGCATTTTGTCTCTTGAACAAAGAAGGAATCAGTAAATGTATCAGGGTCAAATATTTGCTAGTTTTTGGATGGAAACTGACATTTTCTGACAGAGCTAAAAGTTACCTCTGCAGTAAGTCCTATGTATTTATTTCTTTGTGACGTTTTGGTGAATAACCCTACCTCATCAGTAGAAAATGGCACAGACCTGACATTTATACTGTTATACAAGCTTTTTTATTGGACATGTTCTGGAGTGTGAATTAGAATAACCAGCATCTAATCTCGGGCAGTAGCCATTAATGCTACTCGCCAAGGTAAATAATTTCTCCAATTTTCCCATCATTCCCTTCACACTGAGTGTTTCAAAATGGCCGCTGAGTGATCAGTTGCAGCGTTTCTCTATTCACTGTAAGTTTGTCAAATCATTTCAGTATGACAAAGCCTCATCATTACCAGAATATCCCAAAGACTCTGGAAAACGCTGGAGAGTTTCGGATGTTTATCTATGAGCTGACAGAATCTAAAATATTCAGTGTTGTCATCCTTTTTGTAATTCTTCTCAACACAGTCATCCTGGTAATTCAAACTGACGAAGCATTTTCTGTGAAAGCAGGTAAAAATTTTTCCAAAATTCCAGTGGCATTGCTTTGGATGTTGGTTATTCTTTATTGCCATACTTGTCTGGGAAAATGGTTTTGATATTTTTCCTGTAAATATTAGAATGAGAGAAAACCCTTTTTTTTTGTTTAATTTGCTATATAGCTCCTCGGACGATTGAAGATCCATTAAGGTTGCCATCACACACCACAGAATGTGACTTTGAAAGCTTTTCTAAACTCACAGCGGTATTTATCCGACCAAGTCCTCGTTGTATGCTGAACCTACTTCATAGATGTCATTTTTTGTATCACCGCTGTGACCAAATCGCTATTTATCTCCGTTCGAGCACAGTGACAGCCAAATTTAATAATCACACCGACTGAATTGTCCCCTTAATATAATCAGCCTTTTTATCTCTAAATATGGTTTACACGTCCTAAACGATCTTAAAGAACACCGAGTTTTTAAAGTATTTCAGCGACTGAGCGCTTATGAAGTCGCCCACAAGCAATTTCCATTCACGATCTGTTTCAATGACTGCTTGTATACCTCGTAGGTTGGTATCTATCGGCTCTTGACAACGTCTTCCTTGCTATCTATTTCATGGAGACAGTTGTGAAGCTGTATGCACTTCGTTCGTTTTTCTTCACGACAGGATGGAACATCATGGGTAAGTAAATGTGGCACTGCTTACAGGAGCCAATTCAAGTTTATTTTATACAATCAAGCAAAAATTACCCAACCCTTGAAACTCTGAGTGACCAGCAGCTAATTTCTCCTAACGTTAATCCTGCTGAATCATTCATTAGGATCATGAGAATAAAGGAAGTGATCGCCAACCGAGCTAAGAAGCTTTGATTGGTAAACAATTTCTCCTTACTAGTACCAAAGGAAATGTATGAAGAAGAGTATGCAGAATATGAATATTCCTTTTAGGATGTAGAGAGTTAATTGATCAGTTGATAAGGAAGACAACCATACAGCATAGCACTACAACCTAGTAAACAGCCGAGCAAGACTAATGTCGTGTCATGAAACATTTCCTAAACGGACACTGCGAGTGAAGCAAACATGAGCCAAAGATCCCTGGTTGCATTCTTGGGTGCGAAATATTACAAAAGTAGCAATCCATGGACGGGTACTTTGCCTCATTAAAACTAACGTGAATTTCCATGGCTACAATTCATTTGATGATGAAGCAGTAGATAAATCTTTGAACTTCGTAACCTTCAGACCCCCCGCAAACCTCGGCCCGAGTCCACTCAAGTCTTCCTACGGGCGGAGAAACTTTAGTCCTGCAGGGGTAATGATGAGAGCCTGGTATCAGAATAGCATTTAAACTTTTCAAGAAAATAAAACTTCCCGAAACAATGGCCTTGGTTAATAATAGCCATGATTTTATACTGAACTTTTAATCGTCTTTAGGTTAAAAGTTTTGTTTTCTTCCCTAGACTTTCTCATCGTCCTTTTTACCATGGTGGACTTTCTACTGCCGTTAATCGTGCAGAATGTCGGCTCCTTTGATGTAGCAGCCATCTTTAGGCTGCTGCGGATGTTTAGAGCTATCAGGGCGCTGAGAGCATTGCGGGTGTTACGGACCATCAGGTAAAGGTGGGCGGGGTTTACCTTTGTGTGTTGCTTCCCCTTGGTGTTTATACGAATGTCATTATATGATACCATCTTTAAGCAGAAGCAGCTACTCCATAAATCTACTTCACGCCCATCGTTAGGGCTCGTCCTGCAATACAGGAGGGGGGGCAAGTATGTTTGGTGAAAAGCCCAGGTTATGACTATGACGGAGACTTCTTAAGCCGCTCTTGGCGAAGATGCTCGGCCTTGATCAGAGAGAAAGCGGTTTGAGTATGGCCTAAAACGGAGACACATTAAAAAGCTCTGCTTAACTAATTCCTACGGTAACTTTGGCAAGACCACCGCTAGAATGTCTTGAATACACTGGTTTAATGTAAATTAATGCAAACTCTATGTAAGAGGAGGGCGAAACGAGGATATTAAACAAAACAATCAAATAAAAAAAACCAACAAAACATCAATTTATAGAATTGTCGCTTCTAAGTTTAAATCTGAACAATTTCCTCTAACACTTGAGAAAACAGGTTTACAATATAACTGATTTAAAGATAATCATGTCATACTGAGTAGCAATGATCTGTCAGGAAATCTATTTGATTTAGAAACCAAGGTGATCTCTTTCCAGATTTTTGAAGAATCTACAAGTTATCATGACGACAATCCTGAAATCGTTCAGAGCGCTGAGTACAATCGTTATGTTACAGGGGCTCTTCCTTTGTATCCTTTGATTCTTGTTATGATTATTTTTACAAAAATATTTTCTCGAGGCTTTACTTGCCTCATCGATTATTTCCACTCTGTTGGTCTGTTCCACTCTAGAGGATGCACGATCCTCTACTGCGAGAATCGTGCATCATACGTATTTCCACTCTCTTGTCCGATTATTACTTCGTAGCCTACTAGCGGTAATTAAGTCAAGCTCGGCTTCGCTGTTTTAGCGCCCTTGCCTCTTTTATTTTTCTATTTGTTTCCTCTTTAGTAACCGCCCGCCACAAAGGCCATTTTCTTTTAACACTGAGCCGTTCTTCACAACTGTATACAGAATTCACAGTTCTTCTTCGTTTAAGTTCTTGTTCTTCTCCACACATAACTCACGAAGAGACTTAGAACTCACAGTAAACTCTAGTAAAGTTGCAATTTTTGTCGCCTCCGATTATCTGATTTTTGCTCGCACGGGTTCATAACCTTATTTGCTAGTACTCGCAAGTGTCACAAACCGGTAAGAGTGGTGGAGGTTGGTCAAAACTCCTGTCCAACACGGCATGGTTTCAAGCAGAGTAATTTTCTTCAGTATGACATAACACCACTTTATTTCAGCCGTAGAGTAGGCACAGACTATTTTCTGGGCTACACCAGCTTAATCTCATTTGCAGAGTGTATTACTCCAGTAGATTTCCTGACGAAACGTTATATAGATATGTTTGCGGTGATAGGTCGCGGGTTATTTTATGAAGTAGCTCCCAGCAGGTTTGGTACACTGGGGAAGGCGTTCTTCACTCTGTTTCAGCTCATTACTTTGGACGATTGGTTTTTTATGTACAGTGATGTGGTGGAGAAAAATCCAGGTGGACTAAATTTTTTTTTTCTCAGCTTTTTTACTGCGTTCTGAAAAAGAAAAAATTAAGTGCGGTTACCAAAACCCCGCTTCTCCTGCAAAAATTTGATTCTTTTCACGATCATCGTTTTCTCTTCTTTTATTATTCTTTTTTATTCATTTATTCATTGACTCGTTTGTTCGTTTGTGTGTCCACCGTTCCGTCCTTACGCTTGTATTTACCTGCCGTCTACTCGTTCATTCGTTCGTTCAGTCAGTCATGTTTTTATCATATCTACTTCTTCCATACAAGGTTCCTTGCACATCATCCTTAAATCAAAGTTTTACTGTCAGTCCCCTAGTAAACACTTCTGATCAATAATAAGGCATGCGTTTGTTGTGAAGTTACTTGTCCCGGAGGTAGATCTAGCACACGTTACGTGTCCTGAGTAGTGTGTTATGCTCAGCTTTCTATAGCTAGTAGGCACCTGCTTGTAGAAAAAGATACTGAAACCTCTGAACAACTTTCTTTTCAGCTGAAAGGTGGCTCGTACCGGTTTTCATCTTTTTGATGGTTTGTAACTTTGAAAGAATACAATAGAAAGACTGACCAAGGCCAGTTGAACACTTTTACGGGGTTGAATTACATAATCATTGGTTATCCAAAAATAAGTGTCATTTCGTCATTAGCAGTTTCCATGGCAAC